CTTAGACTGTGACCTCTAGTTCTGGACTTCCCCAATGTCGGCAACATTCTTCCCACATCTAGCTTGTCCAGTCCCATCAGGATTTTATGTGTTTCCATGAGATTCCCCCTCATTCTTTTAAACTTAAGCAAATACAAGCCCGGTTGATCCAGTCTTTCCTCGTATGTCAGTCCTGCCAGCCCAGGAATCAGTCTGGTAAACCTTCAACGGACTCCCTCAATAGCAAGAATGTCCTTCCTCAGACCAGGAGACCAAAACTGCACACAATACTCAAGGTGTGAGCTCACCAAGGTCCTGTGTAACTGCAGCAAGACATCCTTACTCTGATATTCACGTCCTTTCGCTGTGAAGGCCAGCATGTCATTAGCTTTCCTCACTGCCTGCTGCACCTGAATGCCAACCTTCAGCGACTGTTCCCCCATGACACACAGGTCTCATTGCACCTCACCTTCTCCTAAACTCCCACCATTCAGATAATAATCTGCCTTCCTGCTTTTGCTACCAAATAACTTCACATTTATTCACATTATATTGCATTTGCTGAGCATTTGCCACTCAGCCAGTCTGTCCAGGTCACCCTGCAGCCTCTTAGCATCCTCCTCACAGCACACGCTCCTACCCAGTTTAGTGTCATCTGCAAATTTGGAGATACTGCATTCAATTCCTTCATCCAAATCATGAATGTATATTGTGAACAGCTGTGGTCCCAGCACTGAACCCTGCGGCACTCCACTCATCACTGCCTGCCACTCCGAAAAGGACCTGTTTATTCCAGTTCTCTGCTTCCAGTCTGCCAACCACTTTACTATCCATGTCAATACATTAACTCCGATACTGTGAGCTTTAATTTTCCTTGCTAAACTCTTATGTGGAACCCTGTCAGATGCCTTTTGAACGTCCAGATACACAACATCTACTGATTCACCTTTGTCCACTCTACTGGTCACGTGCTCAAAAAATTCCAGAAGATTTGTCAAGCATGATTTCCCTTCAGTGAATCCATGCTGACCAGGGTTGATTCTGGCACCACTTTCCAAATGCTCAGTTATTACATCCTTAATAATTGACTCAACATTTTCCTCACCACTGATGTCAGGCTAACTGGCCTATAATTCCCCATTTTCTCTCTCCCTCCCTTTTTAAAGAGTGGGGTTACATTAGTTACTCTCCAGTCCAATGGATCTTTTCCACAGTCTATACAATGCTAGAAAATGATCACTAATGCGTCCTCTATTTTTAGGGCCACTTCCTTAAGTACTCTGGGATGGCTTGCTCTCTAGTTGGTTCCTTTACATATTGGCCGAGGAAACCATCCCTCATAACATTCCAGGAAATTCTCCTCCATCGCATTGCTATCAGTTTTGGTAGTCCAATCAATACATAGGTTGAAGTCACCCATAATAACTACAGTACCCTCACTGCATGCATTGCTAATTTCCTGTTTGATAGAGTCCCCACCATCACAACTACTGTCTAGTGGTCTGTACAGAACTCCCACTAACTTCTTTTTCCCTTTGGTATTCCACAGCTCCAACCATACTGATTCCACATTGCCAGGTTAATGTCCTTCCTTACTATTGTGTTAAGCAGCTACTTAACCAACAATGCTATCCCACCTCCCTTTTCTTTCCATTTGTCTTTCCTGAAACTTGAAAAACCCTGGATGTTGTGTTCTCATTCTTGGACACCCTGGAGCCAGGCCTCTGTAATCCCAATTGCATCATATCCATTAATAACTGTTTGTGCAGTTAATTCATCCATCTTATTACAAATAAAACATTTGGACAGGCACATAGATAGGATAGATATGGAGGGATATGGACCAAACACAGGCAAATGGGACTAGATTAATTGTGAAAACTAGGTGGGATGGACAAGTTGGGTCGAAGGGCCTGTTTCCATGCTGTAAAGCTCTATGACTCCATGACTGTGTTCAACTCAAGTTAGACATCTGGCGAGACATAACAGCTCCGTCTGAAATTATGGCACAGCAGATACATGTTGCAAAAGCTTTTCCACTATACAAAGTATCAGCATTGGGTTTTATCATTATTAAGTGTTAACATAAAATGAGATTCAAAAATCATAATATTGAAAATGAAGTTACTATAGGCAACAGTTCTGGAACATCAACATGATTCTTACAATGTTGGTGTTTTAGTGCAAGCTCTTGAAAATACATTTCTAAAAATAAATAACTGATAAGCCTGTACCATTGTAGTTGCATATTCAAGAATTCAACCAACAACAACAAAATCAATCAACAAATGCATACACCATTCTGAACTGGCATATCTTAAATTGTTTCACAGAGAATTGAATAGAGCTATCAGTTTTAATGAGATGTAGGATGACCGACATTTAACTAAAAACTAAGAATGATTCATTCTGTCAAAATGAGAAAGTATGCAATTGTACTGTGTTAAAAATTGCGTGTACAGCAAGCATTTTTAAGGGTCAAAGTAAGGTTACTTATCAGTCCTGGTTGTCACGTGGGAGAAAATTTGGTTTAAATTGGTAAATTTTTAACGTTCTGATGTACTTATCATTCAGTTCTATGAGTTCCAATTTGTATTTTAGGCAGGCTCACTGCAATTTTTCTTCACACGGTTTATTGCTTTATTAGAACCACTATCTGCAAAGTGATACCTCCTTTGACCTGGCCCCTACTTCTCCCACCCACTAATTACCAACTTCCTAAAAGACATCAATCACCTGTCAGCCTGTGGCTGTAACTGGGCTGTACAACCCGTCACACCACTCACACCCTTCTTGTGAAAAATGCAGAAGAAAAGGTGGAGAAGTAACTAGACAAGAAATGTAGATCAAGAGAAACAAAAGATGTGAAATCAAGGAGAAGCACAGATAAAGAGAGAAAGTAAAAGAAAAAGAGGGAAGTAGGGTGACCAGCAATATTGTTATACCTCACTGGGGTAACATGCTGAATATCAAGCCCTCCTACTGTCCAAGCTGTTGCAAAAGATAATAATTCCACAGTTACCTGTCTTTTCCCGGGTTAGTGGAAAGCATGGAACATGTTTCTGAACTGAACAGGATTGACTATTTATTATAAGTAAATAGATTCTAGTTATAGATGAATAATGAACCTTCAACATATAACTCTACCAGTTAAAACTCTAACCCTTTGAAAAGCTCCCCTTCTACAAAGAGACATACAGGCAGGAAAAAAGATGAGTTATGGGTGGAAAGGCAGTTCAGTGGTCCCTGTCCATAGAGTTTGCTGACATGATGCTTATGCTGATCAGAACATGGCTTCTCAATTTTCCTTATCCCAATACTTTTACCTGTTTGCAGGAGGCAAAGGGCGACTGGTTCCCACTTATGAAGGTCTTTGACTTATCAATTGAAAGTCACAGCTTACACCAACCAGAAAGGGGAAATTCGTTAGTTATCTACAGACTTGAGATGCTTTTTACTGAAGAGCAAAGTCAGCTCCTTCTTCTCCAGAGATCCAATGATTTCCAGTAAAACATTCACACCCCAAGATGTTCAGCTTTCTGGGACCCAATTGCATAGTTGTTGGCAGGCAGAAGGCCTTTGACATTGAAACTGGTCATTCATCCATAGACCAATCGGCTACTTGTTATCCACCAAAGTTTGATACATACACGCCCCTTGGCTCCAGCTAATTTGCAAGCTAAGCTTCCACCACTGCTCAAACATACACCTGTACGAATAGTACATACAATTAGTGTCAGGCTACCTACATTTTAAAAGTAAGTAATCCCTCACCAATCTTTGGTTTTTAAAATAAGTTCTTTTCCTATTTCAGTCCACAATCTCAAATACAGATTTTTTTTAAAGAATAGTCTTTACAACATGAAAACAACAGAGTTAAAGAAAGTGTAAATTCCAACATACTTGAGCAATGCCATGGATAGGTCCACTAATGATAAAAATAAAGGTTTGTTCTGGAACTAATGTTTCACTACTGGATATCTGCGCATTTGGTAAATACCAATGTGAAACATAGAAGATCTTCTTTCTCAAGGACTATTGGAATACTATCACAGAATTACAATCACAGGGTGACATGGTGGCTCAGTGGTTAGCACACCTGCCTTATAGTGCCAGGGACCCGGATTTGATTCCAACATAAGGCGACTGTCTGTGTGGAGTTTGCACATTCTCCCTATGTCTGTGTGGGTTTCTGCGAGGTGCTCCAGTTTCCTCCCATAGTCCAAAGATGTGCAAGTTAGGTGAATTGACCATGCTTAAATTGCCCTTAGCGTTCAGGAATGTGTAGGTTAGATGTGTTAGCCATGCGAAATGCAGGGTTAAAGGAATAGAGCAGTGGGATGGGTCTGGGTGGGATGCCCTTCTAAGGGTTTGTGTAGACTTGTGGGCCAAATGGCCTGTTTCCACACTGTAGGGATTCTATATGTATAAATTAGCAGCTGTGCAAAATAATATTGTACAAATTTTCTGCAAAATAGCTTACGTACATAATAAGATATCAACTTCAAAGAGAGTTTTAATGAGATGTGACAAGTGTGCAGTTTTTCAATAAGCATGGCAAGGAATAGTTAAATCGTTCATGGATTTAATTCTTTCCACAGCTTGTAAGACTGTAATCTCAGGTTATTTAACTGGACCCATAGGTGGGTTTTTTTCATTTTTGTGTTTTGAACTTTGTTTTGTGTTTAGCTCTGCTCTCTTGATCACTTTTATTGTATGTTCCACAATTCAGCTGTGAGCGGGTGATTGTCTTATCTGTCAATGCTGTCAAGTGGGATGTCAGTGTAAGTTGGTGATCTCTGATAGCGAGGGTTGTACTTGTACGAAACAGCTTCAATCCTACCATCTCTTGCTGCCAAACACATCTTTATTTAGGATCTCAGCCAAGAACTGAAAGCAGTAACTGAGTAAAAGGTCAATCCTTGGATATTGATATTTCCACAATGATTACCTGACCAAACTTCACAATTAGGTTTCTGTGTTTTGTATTGATAAAAACCACTTTTTTTTCTCCTATTCAGTTTACCGCTGCTTTGACCTATGATGGAATATTCGTCATAGCTGAAGCTTTTCGTTATCTACGAAGGCAACGGATTGATATCTCAAGAAGAGTAACTACTGGAGACTGTTTAGCCAATCCTGCAGTACCTTGGAGCCAAGGAATTGATATAGAACGGGCTTTAAAACAGGTATGAGGAATTCTGTTTCCAACTGATATAATGTACCAATAAAAGTAATCATATAGATGCAGTTCGCATCTACCAGCAATTAGTACATGTTTAAACAGATTTTGTAATGTTTATTTTTTTTTAATTCAAGTTTTTTTTAGTTGTAAATTAACCTTAACAAATCCCCATTGGAGAAATCAGATTTAAATTCAAAACTTAATTGATGTTTAAGCTTAATTCTTCTCAATAAGTTACTATCATTAATTCACATCTTGGCTGCCTAATCAAGAGAGTTATTCTGTTCAGAATTTTAAGAGATTAAATGAATTGTCATTATTTTCATGACTCTATTTATATTATATGTAGATTGAAGTGAAACCTGTTAGAAAACTAACAATGTGTTAATGATGAGAGACAACAAGGTACAGGGCTGGATGAACACAGCAGGCCAAGCAGCATCATAGGAGCAGAGAGGCTGACGTTTCGGGCCTAGACCCTTCATCAGAAAAGGGGGAGGGGAAGGGGGTTCTGAAATAAATAGGGAGAGAGGGGGAGGCGGATAGAAGAGGGATAGAGGAGAGGATAGGTGGAGAGGAAACAAACAGGTCGAAGAGGCGGAGATGGAGCCAGTAAAGGTGAGTGTAGGTGGGGAGTTAGGGAGGGGATAGGTCAGTCCAGGGAGGACGGACAGGTCAAGGGGGCGGGATGAGGTTAGTCGGTAGGAGATGGAGGTGCGGCTTGAGGTGGGAGGAGGGGATAGGTGGGAGGAAGAACAGGTTAGGGAGGCGGGGACGAGCTGGACTGGTTTTGGGATGCGGTAGGGGGAGGGGAGATTTTGAAACTTGTGAAATTTGTATTGATACCATTGGGCTGCAGGGTTGCCAAGCGGAATATGAGTTGCTGTTCCTGCAACCTTCGGGTGGCATCGTTGTGGCACTGCAGGAGGCCCAGGATGGACATGTCGTCTGAGGAATGGGAGGGGGAGTTGAAATGGTTCGCGACTGGGAGGTGCAGTTGTTTATTGCGAACCGATGTGTTAATGATGTGGGCTTTTATTAATGGACAATTTAGAAAATGCATTCAGGAGCTCAAGAGATACAGCAGGAGCTGTGAGCCTCCAGTATGTGTTGGTCTATTAATGCTGCCACACTATTTGCCTTGCACAAACAATACTAAGAACACCTCCACCCCCGTCCGCATCTAATTTGAGAAATTACTAGTTTTCCACAATCATTCCCCATTAAATTTATAAATCAAAAGTAGTTAGTACCTTTATAAGCCAATCAATCTCTCTAGCCCAGAATGGGAACAGTTTGATGGGTTCTGTTTCATTCCTGCATGTAATTCATTGTTGACAGAAAAATATCAGTTTTGTCATGTTTATATATTTTATTACTTTTCCTTTCTTGGGACTTACAAGATAATTCCATCAATGATGATAGAGCAGTTCAGAAGCAACGTCAAACTCCATCTTAAATAAAATTATAACCCATTCTGTGATAAATATTTTGCTTATTTTCTCCCTTATTGCCCTGAAAACACTGGTTGAGGGTTTACAAGTAACAATCACTGGGACTTCACTCAGGTGACCACCTGCATGTTGTGATCCTTAGAGTGAGTAAAGATGCAATAGATTTATGATAACTGTCATCTGTGCTGCAGAACTAACTACCAACTAATAGTAGGATGCTGCCTCCAATCCTGCCAACAAGAAACACTTCTCTAAAATACAGCATGGCAGCAATAGGTACAAGCTACAAGTGGCTGATTCAACTTAAATTACAAAGATGAGCAAGAGCCCAGAGTTTGCATATTTAATCCCAATACAGCTCAAGCTGTACTGCCGTCTGTCTTCACCCAAAAAAGTATTACATTCAGCGGAGAATGACAGTCTTCAACATTAACCCTTTTAGAGTTATTACCATACAAAGAATCTACCCCCAAACTTTTATTCCCCTCAATAAACATGTAAATATTCAGCCACATATCTACTTTTATATTGACCACTAGCCAGGTTTTAAATTCTGTATAATAGAAATGCCGTACTATTTTCTTCTGACAATGTTCCCTCTTATGCAAAAAAATGCTGCACTGTTTTACTTCATTTAAGTTTCAAATTCTGTTGAATACCCAACTCGCATGTTGTATTGCTTGCTGGGAACTGACGCTGGTGTGGGAGTGTGGGGGTCCTGACTTTTAAGCAATCAAAATGAAAGCTCTCCTGCCTTTCATACAATTATACACAATTCACATCCCTATCTCCAATTTTTCAAATAAACTTATGTGGCTGTGGCCTGAATAAATCTTCCCATTAAATCTGTGGTTTAAATTATGTACCTTCCAGTCTTATCACAGTATTAATTTTTTTCTTCTGTCAGACTCAGTCTTTTGAATATTTAAATTGCCTTTGTGTTGCCCTAACTTTGCTCTATGATGTTTCTGTTGTTGCCTTCTCAATATAAATGAATTGAATGACTCTTGATTCACAGTGTGCCCTCAAAATGTTGGAAATGCCCACTATGAAAGGGAAGTGTAGTGATTATAATGAGGTCAGCCACATGGACCTCATAGAATATGAGTTCCCTGATTGGGGCTGTCAACCTGGCTGACAGATATAAACAGGGGTGTTAGGAGTTCTGCTCACTCTGGGAGTCGGCTATGAGCCAGGTGGGTCTGTGTCATGTAATACCCATGAGTAAATAAAGGGTGACTTGGTGACAAAATACTGGCCTTTTTGGAGTTATTTCAGTATTTGTTCCTTTTTTTACTTCTATTCCTTCCATCCTGGTCCTTTGTGCAGTTAATTTAGAGCTTTTCCCCATGCCAACAGGGAATTTTTAACAGAATCCATGGAGTTTCGAAACAGCTGCTTCCCTGTCAAACCTGAATCGGGGCTGCCCCTACAAATCCTTCTTCTCTAAGGACCCTGTAACTGACAAGTTTGACTAATGTTTTTCACCCTTTTCTAGTCCACACTGACTTTCCTGCAGCTCTTGCTAGCTCTGAGGTGACGTTTTCAGCTGAAGTGCAGTGCTCTTACATATATTGAAAACTAATATTTTAATACATGGAGCCATGTTCTTGGTAAATAGAAAGAACTTACATATGCATCTGGTTCAACTCAACAGAAGTAGGTGGCAGCCATTCACTTGTTCACTTCTTAGGGCAATACCTTCACCAATCAGAGTCAACATCCCTGATTTAAAATTTAAACAAAACTTTGGCAGTTAACAGTTAATCATAATTGACTGGTACATTTCCCATGGCAACCTCTCTACAAATCAGAATCCATTTGCTAACCAATGAGCACTCTCCTTTTATACAGTATAAATGCAGGTATTCCCTTAATTTGCTATTCTTGTGAATTGTCCTGATGAATACAAAACAAAAAGCTTCAATAAAATGTGTCTTTATTAAGAAATACTCAAGATACAGTGTAGATTATTGCAAGACTGGAATAAGTACAAATTACATTGGTCATTTAGGCATAATTGCCAAGACTATCAGTATTCAGAGATAACATATCTGACCCCATTGAGCTTGAGCTGGATTCCCTCTTTCCCCACCCAAGGCTATAAGACATTACCAGATTGGGTGAAGCATTAACCCTTTCAGAACCATCACCTTAAACAACAATAAGTTGTTGCTTTAACTGCTTCTGCTGTGTTTGATATATCAGTTCTGCTTACATCAAACAGCCTCAGTTTATTGTTTCTTCCTCAGTAACCGTATCCAGGATTAACTAATATGAGAGAAGATACAAGACTCATGTAAGCAAACATCAAAAAATTGAGCACTACATCACATCCCCTGATGAAACCAAAGACATTGTATTAAATTGAACTGTCCTAAACAACAAGCGGATTTACATTGAAACAATTTTTTTTAGCGTTTACCTTGTCAATTTTCTTTAGATACAGAAATGTTCTTTGAGATGTGATCATCTCTGATAAGGATGCTGGAATCCACAAATTTAAAGTTGTGGTTCTACAAGATTAACTCAATGATGTATTCTCTAATCACTGCCCTTAAAATATTGTGATCCACTTGCTGTTAAGCATCTCTTGCTTCACTTAGTGTTATCATACTTCTGACCAAAATGGAAGATATATACTGTCTTTTTCTATTTCTATTACCCAGGTTCACATCATGAATTTAACTGATTTACCCAGGTCCCAAAGTGGCCATGCATATGCTTTCTCTATATTGGACTTAAACTAAAGAGATCCATCAGCAAAGTTTCTTTAATAAACAAAATATTATTAATTTATTATAAACCAAAATTTATTCAATTAAGATACAAATATGGGCAAAGGGTTTAGTTTGTGATATGAAAATATAAATGGCTATCCCTCTAAAAACCCAAAACACAGACAAGAACTAATACGCACTGTGTAAAGAAGTCAAAAAAATCGATTTCTCTCTGCACAGATTCACTTTGGGAAACTGAAAGAACTATGGAAGCTGTAAATCAGAAACTAAAACAGAATTTGCTGGAAAAGCTCAGCGGGTCTGGCAGCATCTGGGGAGAGAAATCAGAGTTTGTTTCGGGTCCAGTGACCCTTCTTCAAAATTGATGGAAGTTCTGAGGAAAGGTCACGGGACCTGAAACGTTAGCTGTGATTTCTCTCCACAGATGCTACCAGACCTGCTAAGCTTTTCCAGCAATTTCTGTTTTTGGGAAAACATGCTTTGCAATAAGTCTTAGTTCTTGAAGGCAAAAAGAATAAAGTTTGAGCTGTTCAGCTGGCTATTAATCTGATGTTCTGGCATGTGTGAAAAAGTACCCCCAACTGTAGGCATTTGTCTCTGGGATATTAGCTGACACAGCTTGCTCGAGAAACACAGTAGCACAAACACTTTTCAAGAGTACAACCAGATTTCACACTTGATTCATCACAGAGATGTTTCAGAAACAGGAGATACGAGCTGAACAATTTGTTCTTCAGCATGTTTCTCCCAACTGAAAACCAATAATCAAATGCCAAGACTGTAAAATATTGTATAAACAAAACAACCAT